TATCATGTGAGGGACATGAGGCTCAAGGAGGTTAAATAATTTGTCCAAGATCACAGAGCAAATCTTTACCAGTTTTATAGACCACTGAGTTATCATAAAATAGGTTCCTGCAGTCAGTAAATTTTTCACTAGTGATTTTCTAAAACCTTTTAATTACCAATGTAACAATACACAAACGCAAACATTCCAATATACAAAGTACAAAAATATGATTGCTTGTGAAATCATGAACATATTACATACATAGTTTATTTTTTTTAAAAGTATATTAAATCAGATAAGAAAATAACCACGGTGAGAGGAAGGGAATGACAGGTGGATGGTCAGATTGCTCCACTGATAGCCTAGCTATGTCAAAAGAAAGCAAACAATAGTATTAGGCAAACCCTTGTGGAGAAGTTTTTTGGGGGATTGTATGTGAGGTGCATAGGATTGGCAGGCTTGGATCAGCTGTGTTAGAAGGAACACTGGAATCCATAAGATGGAAGATCCATTTGATTAAGTAAGATAGTAACAAAGTTAGCTTACTTGTGCCCTCTTCTGAACATTTTTGTTATTTTAACGATGTTCTTTGCTTCCTATTTATCTTTATCATTACCCACTAACTCATTTTTCCCTCACCGAGTAAATTAATAGAGCTAATAATAATGCACTAACTCAGTGCCCAACTCATTAATAGTGAAGGATTTGGGTAAAGGTCAAAATTTGTCTCTAGTTAATATTTATAATAATGGTTAATATTTATAAAATAATATTCATAAATTTTTAATTGTCAGCATTGCTGTGATTGTGGGAAGGTAAAATGGGAGAATGTTTTGAGTATAGGATAAGAGCTTGCAAAATAAAAATAAAAAACTTCTATGAATTTTAGAACCAACATGAATCTATGGTGCCTTTGGAAGTTTAGGAATACAAGACTGTATGTAGTCTATGAAGCTAACCATTCACCATTCAAATCTCTACAGAGATTCTGATTTAACTGAGAAACAAGAGATTTCAGGGTCCTCTACATTATCAGGCATGACTTCTTGTCACAGTACCACCACACAAACAGCCAGGATTAGCTCTTCCATATAAGATGAAATTTAGAATGGGTAAAATGTTGCAAGGTGATAAAGAAGGGTAGAATATTTCCCTTGGGCATAGGTTTCTATAAACTCAACCATGGAGAACATTGTTGATAGAATTTTTTTAAGTCCTAAATTGTAATGTTTAAGCAAATATGATATTATTTGAAGAAAAGAAAGTAAGTGAAACCAGAGCCTGGGCTCTGTGAGGGCAGGGACTGGTCAGTTTTTTGTTATTGTGTTCCTGTTTCTTAGAGCAGTGCTAGCCACAGAGTAGAGGCTTAATACATGTCTGCTAAATGAATGAATTGCCTTCAATTTATATAGAGCATCCTGTTTTATGAAGCCCTTGGTCTCATTCAATCCTCACATCCTGGTGAGGTAGACAGAGCAGGCATTATCTCCATTTGCTGGATGAGGATGCCATAACCAGCTAAAGTCACAAGTGGGGGGCCAGGATTGGAGTCCAGGTCTTCTCATTTCATCCTGGTTCTCTTTCTACTGCATCAAAGGAAAGGGCTACAGTAATTTTTCAGCTGATTCTGTACCAACTTCTTTAAAGTGAGATATAAAATATGTATATTCTAGATGCATGGAATATGTATATATATAGATTTCCATAGATATTTACATATCTATACATGATGCCTATGTATCTATATACATAAAATAGATAGAAAAACAGAGCTATATAGTCAGATATAGATCTATACAGATATAGATATATCAATATTGATACAGATATATGTTTATATAGATCTGTCTTTCTATTTCTTTATGTATCTCCTGCATTGCGGTAGTAGATATACTGTACATTGTTGAAAGTAGAGCCCACCAAACATCTGTATTTCTCAATCACCTTGTAGTATAAATGAACTCTGGACTTTTTTGCAGGATAGGGCTTCTATTCAGCCAAATTACCTGATGCAAGGCATATTTTCTTCAAGAGTCAATTCTGGCCAAACCAGCAGGCCTCCCCAGCTGGCTGACCATGAAAGTGCATCTGCTCAATCTCTCCACCCTCCCCCCACCCCCTTCACTCCTCTCCTTCCCCTCCATGATTCTAAAGTTGTTTAAACTTGTCTTTTTGTTCTCCACATTAGGTCTTCTGTATGAACACCCAAAGCAAACAGAATGAATGCCTGCTATAGACAATAACACACAGTCAACAGAATTTCAAATAAAGGAACAGGATGCAAAATGGAAAGACTTTTCTTCTGGCCCCAGGGCCGCTCTACAGCAGATCTGGCCATAGCAAAGTTTGTTCAATTGTGTTTTGTGTTGCAGAGCAGGTGACATCTATTTTACACAATTTTTTGCTGGTTGGGTGAGTATGCTTCCCCTTCTCCTCACCACCTCCTTCCCCAAGCACATATACACACCTGGCATGCTTTTTATTTGCACAGCCATCATAGAGTCATGCCGTTTTTCTTCTGTGACTCGCAAACTGGGTGAAGGCTTCTTTTGCTAAGACTTTTGGTAAAATTCTATCCTGCTAAACAAAGCCATCAATATAGTATCTTGGCTATCAAAACAATATTGCATTTTGCTCTCCTCTCATCCTCAGAGGTATAAACTGGGAATTCTAGCAGCAGGGACAAGTTCACTGACCCTGATCTCGGTTGCCTTGCTGATCCTGGACAACCCACAGATGTTAGGTCCTTAGGTTTGGCAATGTGACAAAGCGCAATTCGCCTTAGTCAGTCCCAATGCAGTAATGGCAAAAGGTATGGTAAGATAGACATGAGAGAGATGCTGTAGGTAGAAGGTTGTGGCCCTATAACTAAGTAAGGAAGGGAGGTTGGTCTTAGCTTAGAATGAGTAGCATCACCTTTGATATCGGCTCCCTGGGACAGAGACCCAGTTGCCCTGGCCTAATTGTGACTCTGTTTCCACAAACTTTTTCCTCAGCTCCCATCCAACACTATAGGTATTTTCATGTTCTATTGGTATAAGGTCAAGAGAAACAGAGCATTCGCGGGCACTGATAATCCCAACCACATGTCATTCAAAATAGATTGACATTCAGGAACATTGGCACATCTCAATTTATTAGTACCCTTATGTGATGGCTAATGCTTATAAAAATTCAAAAACTTCAGATAAAGGGTAGACTGTGGAACAGAAGAAAGACCACAGCCTAGCCATAAAACAGACTATTAATAGCCTCAGAACTTCTAGGATAATCATTTCATTTTACAGATGAGGAAACTCTTTTGGTGGATAGGGTTCCCATTTAGACAAATGACTTAACATAAGGTATACTCTCTGTGAGAGTCAATTCTGGACAAGCAAGCAGGACATCCATAGTTGGCTCATCATGAGTGTGCATCCTGTGACTTCTCCAAAGTTGTATAGTAAGCCAATGGTGTGTCTAGGACCAGAATCCAGGTTTTTCTGACTACCAGTTCAATGTCCCCTGCCTCCTAGTGTTATAGTTCTTTGATCCCAACTTCTCAGCCTGTTCTCTTCCCTCTCTTCTTCTCCTGTTGTGGAAAAATCCTTGGGTTAGGGGCAAGTCTGTGAGTTTGCTCACTAAGAGTTCTATATACAAAAGAAATCACCTTCGCCATTCCCCCCTCCCCCCCTTTTTATGCCCTTTAGTTTGTGATACCATTTCAGCAGAGCTGGGTACGTAGTACATTCCTAACTCTCTACAGCTTTGCAAGCAGAGAGTGGACCAATCCCTTTGCCTCACTTACCCATAGACTATCATCTTTTCTTTTTACACTTTTCATTGCCCACCCTAACCACATTAACTTTCAGTGAGGTTGGCTTCGTTCATCTCTGCATTATTATTTAGCTAAATGTTTCAAGTTGGCAACTCTCAGAAAGAGGAAGACTTAAGTATAGAAAGACATATGTCAGGAAACTTAAACCACATCAAGCAGCCCAGTAGCACATGAAGGGTCTGATTTTACCATTGGGCATATGAGGCTGAGAATTGTCAGGTCTAGTGACAGGAGGCTGCTCTAAGGGCAACTTTGTTAATGCTGATCCAATGCAGTTAGAATGATGCACCTGACACCATGTTGTATACTTGGGGAGTCTACTTAGCATGGAGTTTTCTCTTATTTTCTCATAGAGGATGTGTCCCACACAAAACAAGAAACTTTCAAACCATGTCCTTCCATGGCCACAGAAATTAACCACAGCAAAGACAATCTGGTCTTGTGGGTCATCTTGTCAACTCTTGGTGAACACCCAACATTGATTGCTCGTGGCTTGGAACACAGGACTGCTTGTGTGGTGGCTTGGTCTTTAGGGATGAGTGGGCCTCACTCAGAAAAATGCCCACTCATCCACATCCCCTATGCCGCAGTGGCTTAGTTAGTCTTTTTTACCAGGAAACATTCCCAAATGACAAATGGCAAGGAAAAAACTGGCCATGTGAGCATATAAAGTCATGATCATAGCTTTACAGCTCGAAGGATCTCCAAGGTCATCTAGCCCAACGCCCTCATACTTAGGACAGGGCCAGGAGAGGAGGGTATATCCGGCATGTCAAAGGCTGTGGGCACAGTCCTGCTGAAGAAGAATCTGTAGTTGAGACAGAGGTAGGAGAGTAGCTGAGTCTGTGTGAAAGGCTGTGGCATAGGAAGAATTCTTCCTTCCCTCTCCAGGTTAAGAAGTATTTAATTTCTGACTTCTTACCCAGAGAACCGGCTTGATTATTTCTCACAGCTTTGCTTTGCTTTTCCTCTTTTTTCCTTTCAGGAATCCATCCCTTTGAAACCCACAGGGTATTCTGTGTCTGATGTAACAGGAAGCATTCCCACTTTAGCTCAAGTTTTAGCCCCCTCCTCAAGAAAGGAGCTCTACTGCCTCCAGCAACAAGAGAGGAAACCTCAAGCCTTTTTCAAACCTGAAAAAGATGGACTTTTTACCTAAATTCCTTCACACTCACCTCTCATGGGCATCAACTTTGCCCTTCTGGCTCTCATACCACTATTAAAGCAAGCTTTCCTGTCTTTTCAAACAGGCCCGGCTGCCTCCAGCTGACCCTTCCCCCTGTCCACTTGACATTGACCTGCCCGACAGTGTCCTGGCAGAGAACAAACTTTCTCTTCTGGCCTCTGAGCTATCACTGAAGAGTGAATTTTTACCTAGGAACTTCCTTAATTTCTGATGAAACTCTTTGGAGGCAAAGTAGTAAATGAAAGGATCCAAGCAGTTGTTGAGGCAGCTGAGACAGAGGGTAAGCTTATAGATGTGGTAGTAGCTCTTGTTGAAATATAGGCGACTGACCATGTGCACCAGGAGTATGAAGTTGTTAGGAGCAAAACAAGTGACAAAGGCAAGGAGGACAATGCCAGCAAGACAGATGGACCGGCTTTTCTGCCCATTCCCATACCTTCCAGAAGTCTGGATCAGCTTGAGGATGGTGGCGGTGTAGCAGGCCACAGTCACAATGAAGGGAATGAGGAAGAGAAAAATGAACAAGGTGAAGAGGAAAATGGCCCACATTGCAAGGCTGGGCAGCATGTTCCACTTGAGGACGTCAAAGCAGGTGATGATTCCCAGGGCTTTTACTTCATAGGTCAGGTCTGTGATAGCCAAGGGGGACAGGGCAAGTAATAAAAGGAGCCATATGCCTATACAAGCCAAAACTGCATATCTCTTCCTTCTCCACCTGGTAGAGGTCAAGGGGTATACAACCCCCAGGAACCGCTCTACACTGATGCAGGTCATGGTTAGTATGGAAGAGTACATGTTGGTGTAGAAGACGACTGTCACCAGGTTACAGAGGAACTTCCCAAAGAGCCAGTCATTGTTATTCAGGTGATAGAAGATCTGAAAAGGGAGAGCTACAGCCAACATGAGGTCTGTGACGCAAAGGTTGATCATAAAAATGACAGAAGGTGATTTGGGTTTGGTTTGGCACAGCACCCAGAGGGAAAAGAGATTCCCAGGGATGCTGATGAGGGCCACCAGTGAGTACACGATTGGGAGGGCCACAGCAATGGTTGGGTTCTCAAGCATCAGTAATGTTTCATTATCTGGCTGAGATATGTTGCTATTCATAATTCACAAGATTGTTGATCTTTCAACACCAGAGTGATCATATCCTGAATGTTCAGTTGAAAATCTGAAAGAAAAAAAAAACAGGCCAAATAATCAGGAACACATTGAAAGAATGCATAGTGAATTAGATCCTGATTTATTTTAATTTTTTATTAGCATTTATGTAGCAGAGAACTTTGTATTATCTCACTTTATTCTCTCAACAGCCCTAGGAAGTAGGTGCTATTATTATCCTCATTTTACAGATGAAGAAATGAGGTAGACAGAAGCTAGATTTGAATTCAGGTCTTTCTAACTCCAGTTCCAGATCTTTTTCCATTGTTTTCATAGCTATTGATTCAGGATTATCTTTGTTAATGTCTTTATGTGTATAAAATAAAATACATATGATTATAAAGGAAAACAATTATATTGAAATGTTATCAAAATATAAAAAAAAAGTTCATGGACTCCTGGACAGGTTAAGAACCTTTGCTCTAAAATGATATAGAATAGGTGCTGATCTGCACTGATAAAGGGAGTTTCTTATGCCAATGATATAATATCTTTTATTTTGTGGAGGGAAAAATGTAATCAACATCATTACTAGGTCTGTGACTGGCTTAAACCTTTACAAAAGTAGTGTGAAGTAGTAGTAATACCACTAGTACTGCTGCAGATGACAAGTACTACTTCATTAGGAGTAGTGAAGTAGTAAAGAAGTGTGTAAAGTACTCCCGTACTTTCCTGTATCTCCTTCCCATTTATAAATAATCCTTGTTGCCCTACCCACAAGTTCCCAGACTCCCCCCCTGCTGTGCTTCATGAAGACTGCCCTCCTTGGTAGTACCCCATACATCATATATAATTCCTGTTCCTAAGGAGCTTGCAATCTGTTTAGAGAGAACCATACACATGAAAAGCTTAACTAGCAATACTAGACAATATTCAGAAATAGAAATTTGAGCTAGTACTTGAAGGAGGATTTAGTTAAAGAGAGAGCACACTCCACATAAGAGGAAGGAGAATCCGCTGGGATTTTTCAAATAGTATTTGCGCCCCCCCCCCCCCAATTACATGTCAAGACAATTTGTGGCATTTTTTTTTTTTGGTGAGGCTGTAGAGGTTAAGTGACTTGCCCAGGGTCACACAGCTAGTAAGTAGTTAAGTGTCAAGTGTCTGAGCTCGGATTTGAACTCAGGCCCTCCTGACTCCAAGGCTGGGCTCTATCCACTGCACCACCTAGCTGCCCATATGTGGCATTCATTTTTACAAGACTTTAAGTTCCAAATTTTCTCCCTCCTTCCCTCCCTTCCTAAAATGGTAGGCAATTTGATATAGGTGGTACACATGCTATCATGTAAAACATATTTCCATATTAGTCATGGCTGTGAAAGAAGAAACAGATCAAAAGGAAAAAAAAACTCACAAAAAAAGAATAAAGTAAGAGGAAAAAAAGTGTGCTTTGATCTGCATTCAGAGTCCATCAGTTCTTTATCTGAACATGGATAGCATTTTCCTTCGTGAGTCCTTTGTACTTGACTTGGATCATTGTGTTGCTGAGAAGAGCTGAGTCATTCATGGTTGATCATCACACAATGATGTTGATACTGTGTATGATGTTTTCCTGTTTCTGCTCATTTCATTTTGCATCAGTTCATACAAGTCTTTTCAGGTTTTTCTGAAATCCGCCTGTTCAGTGTCATGCTATTGCATAATAGTATTCCATTACATTCATATACCACAGCTTGTTCAGCCGTTCCCCAATTGATGGGTAACTCATCAATTTCCAATATTTTGCCACTATGAATAGGGTTGCTATAAAAATTTTTTGCACATGTAGGTCCTTTCCCCTTTTTTATGATCTTTTTGGTATATATAGACTTAGTAGTGGTATTGTTAGATCAAAGAATATACAGTTTGGTTGCCCTTTAGCTCCAAATCGCTCTCCAGAATGGTTGGATCAGTTCACAACTCTACCAACAGTATCCCAATTTTCCCACATTCTCTCCTACATGCATATTAGCCAGTCTGATAGGTGTGAGGTGGTACCACAGAGTTGTTTTAATTTGCATTTCTCTAATCAAAAATGATTTAGAGAACTTCCTCATATACTTATGGATAGCTTTGATTTCTTCATCTGCAAACCACCTTTTTGACCATTTATCAATTGGGGAATGGTTTGTACGCTTATAAATTTGACTCAGTTCTCTATATATTTGAGAAATGAGGCCTTTATCAGAGACATAAAGATTGTTTCTCAGCTTTCTGTTTTCCTTCTAATCTTGGTTGCATTGGTTTTGTTTGTGCAAAAGTTGTTTTTATTTTTTTTTTGTGAGGCAGTTAAGCGACTTGCCCAGAGTCACACAGCTAGTGCGTGTTATGTGGTTGAGGTTGGATTTGAACTCAGGTCCTCCTGATTCCAGGGCCGGTGCTCTATCCACTTCGGCACCTAGCTGCTGCCAAAAGCTTTTTAATTCAATATAATCAAAATTAACTATTTTACATTTCATAATGCTCTCATCTCTTGTTTGGTCATGAACCTGTAACTCACTTAATTTAATCCACTGGGATTGAAGACAGAAAAAGGTGAGGCATGACATGGCTACAATAAATAGGCCAATCTGGTTGAAGCAAAAGTTTTATACAGATGAGGAGAGGGAAGTTACTCTTAAAAGATCTGTCTGAGTTGAGACCCAAACAGGTAAGATATTGGCTAGCTTGCCCAGTATGGGACCAAGAAATTCTTCTTCCCGGAAGTTGTCATTGTTCCACCCATCCTGTGAGAAAAAACCAGGACATAGGAACCCAGGAATATATCCTTTCCTATCTGTGGGCCTTTCAGACTAGATGTAAAGGAGAGTTAGTGAGTACAGGTAATTTCATTGTATCAGAATTACCAATAGACAATATAAAATCTCAACAATATTTATAGCTAGAACCTATAAATAATTCTCATCTCTTACTTGAAGCCTTTCTTGTTCCTGTTCCCCAGAGCTGCTAGTTCACCCTCTCCTCCACTACAATTACTTAATATTTATTTTGCATTTATGCTGAATATACATATATGTGGACATGATGTCTCCTTTGATAGAATGTAAGCTCCATGAGATCAGGTAATATTTAATTTTTTGTCTTTGTATCCCCTGTGTCAAATACAGTGTCTAATACTTATTCACTCATGTTTGACTCTTCATGACCCCATTTGGGATTTTCTTGGCAAATATAGTGGAGCAGTTTGACATTTTATTCTCCAGTACATTTTACAGATGAGGAACTGAGGCAAACAGGATTAAGTGACGTAAGTGTCTGAGACCAGATCTGAACACAAGTCTTCCTGATTCCAGGCCCAGTGCTCTGTCCATTGAGCCACCTAGCACTTAGTAGGTTCTTAATAAATGTTTCTTGATTGGTTGAAGTCATCAAAATAGACTGCATTTAAAGTTAAAAGCCAGAATGAGAAGAGGGGGGGAGTTACTTCAGGAAGGAATGATAACTCTCAGAATACACAGACCCATTTAAGAAATTCTCTTTTCTCATGAATTACATGACACTCAAGCTGATGCAAGTACACATTCATGCACACAAACACATGCAAAAACACATGCACTGGGCAGAAAAGTCAGGGTTGGAAGAACAGAGCTCAGAAATGATAGGATATTTGGGGTAAGTTAGTTTCTGCTCTAGGTCTTAATAATTTACTCAGATGATTAAACCAGACCACTGAAGTAGAACATCTAGACACAAGAGGACAGTGTGCAAAAGACCACAATTTGAATGTTGGTTTTGAGCATAAACCATTTGCCACAGCAAGGACTTGTACTATAGGTCACAGGCAGGGGTGATAAGTGGTTAACAACCTTCTCTATGTAAAATAAAAGTATGTATATGACACATGACACATGACATTAAGTTTAATCTGCATAATTAACATTTAAGTCTGGACAATCAATAAAACAATAAATCAAGTCTTGATCAGCATTTGCTGATTTCTGAGGTAAATGCTCACATTGAAAATTTAACAGTCAGCTCCTGGTTGGAGCTGGCTCCAGCACACCCCTGAATAATAGGTCATATTTAGAGGTAGAAAGAACATTCGAGACCAGTTAGATTTACCTTCTCATTTGCCAGATGAGTAAACTGAGGCCCTGAGAAGCTAAGTTTCTAATCCAAGATCACAGTTAACTATTAGAGCCAAGATTTGAACCTAGGTTTATTCCAACTCCAAATACAAGACTATTTCTACCATAATAGTACTTCAGATCTCTTTCATTATATAGTTATTATCTTCAAATACATACTAGCTCTGTGACCCTGGGCAAGTTTTTAAAATTTCTCCTTGCTTCAGTCTCCTCATTTGTAAAATGAGGGTAAGAACAGCACCTACTAAACAGGGTTGTTGTGAGGATCAAATGTGATAATCTTTGTAAAGTGCTTTGCAGACCTGAAAATCCCATATTAAAGATAGCTTTTTGCTGCTACTACTTTTGCTGTTACTACTTTTCTCTTTTAACATTTGTGGCCCTGCTTCCGAATCAGACCTCTCTCCACAGATTAATTTACTTCCTGACCTCAGTAAATACCTATTGATTTGACTGGATTTGAGTCTTCCAAAATCCACATAAAACCCAATCATGGCTATCACTCAAATTAAGGATACTCAGACAAATGGTCCAGTGCCCTTCCCCACCCTCCCAACATATTTATCCAAGTGACTTCATGGCTCTCAGGACTTGGAATGAGAAGGAACTTCAGAGATCATCTATGTCAACCTTGACTAACAGAAATGTGCTCTACCACATACCTAAGAGGTCATCTAGCCTTCACTTGAAACCTTCTAGTGATTTGGAACTCATAAAGTAGCGCATTACACTTTTATGTCATTCAGGTCGTTATGAAGTTTTCCTTATATAAAAATCTGTCTCTCCACAAACTTTCACTCATTATACTTAGTTCGGCCTTCTGGGGCCAACCAGAGCGTGTCTGATGGTTCATCTGCATGATTGGCCTTCAAATAGTTTCATATGATCTACAGTTAGAAAAGATTTGAAAGATCATCTAGCACAATATTTTTTTATTTTACAG